CGCCAGAGCCCGGGCTGGGAACGCCGCCGGGTCCCGTCGTCCTCGGGGACGGCTGGTCTCGGTCAGGTCCTTCAGAGAGAGGAGTTTGGGACCTGGGCAAGGCGGACGGGAAGAGGAGCAATGACTCGTGATCCTGGCGCCGAGTGCCGGGTATCTGGAGAGCGGCGATACCGCCAGCTTCCCGGGATGCTGATCACTGCCCGTCCTTAGCTAAAGAGTGAGATCTGGGAATTTGGGGGCGGGGGGGGAAGGAAATCTGAGGTAAGCGGCGGTCCCGGACGAAGAGGTAGGGGTTACGGACTCCACCCCGGGACCGGGAATGGTGAACGGAGAGTTATTTCGGGAAGCCTCGAAGACAGAGGACGTCATTGCTTCCATCACCATCACCACCATCCGTGTTAAAAAGAAAAATGAAATAAAATGGCAATAATGTTGTGCTACACTTCCGTCCGTTAATTTTATAATGGCTCATAGCTTTAGACTTTTAAATCTGTAGTGTATTAATTTTTTTTCTACATATGCTTCACATTTCTCACTTAATATAACATAAATAATTTGGTTAATAGATTTAACCTGCACATTTCAGCCACATTAATATATATAAGAATCTGTTAATGGTATAAATAATTCTTTTTAAATAAAATAAATCTGATATGTTACATAATACTGATAAAAATTACTGTTGCTAATAGTTTTGTAAGCCACCCTTAATTTTTTGTTTTAATACTGCGAGATGGATACTGGAATTACTTTTACGAACGCTGCGGAGCGTGCCCTTTCACTCTACTGTGAAACCAAACCGTAATCAATACTGATCGCATTATTAAAGCAGGGCCTCTGCCCCCTTAAAAGGAAACACGATGGTTAATGACGTTAGGTAATTTAAGCTAATGAATCTAGGGGTTTTGAGGGGTCAACGTTACGGGGGATAGAAACTGTTTAGTTCATCAGGTGGCTATGAAACTTTAACTACAGAAATGGTTGACTAAAATAGTCCATCTACTTTCTTTCTTTTTAATAAAATCTACAGCACTCTACTTTAAAAGTTAAGTAAATAAAAACGCAACCGATCGTTGCAGCCTTTGAATTATTAATTAGAGCTGTGATCCCACATCCCGTTAGGAATCTGCAAGGTTGCACTCTCCTACAGAGACCTGAAATGGAGTACAGTACTTCCAGGCAAGGTTCATTCCAAACAGACAGTATCAATGAACACTCAGTGGCGTGAAGTGTATGTCATAATTAAGGTATTACATAATCATGCCTTCTCTCTGCTGTTAAATACAAAAACAGCATCTTTTACATTATCATATAAAAGCATTTAGGCTGTATTTTTATTTATCACTTTACACTGGTAGTCTCTTGTATGTGTACTCAATAGAAACCAAAGAATTTTGTACACTATTTTTTGTACAATAAAAGATAAAGTGTGCATTAGGTACGCTTGTACATGACAATATTGTACAATATTTACATTTCAGATATCACCATGAAATTCTGTATTATCTATATACACAATGAAAATTTCTCAGAAACATTTGGACTATTTCTTATAATCACAATTTTAGTATTATAGAAAAAAATTTCAGTAATCATCTGACATTGTTACTGCAACCTTTCAAGATTTCTGATTGGCTTATCCAGCAACCGCTATCCCTCCTAATCATCAAAAATATTGTACCACTAATCCGCATAGCACCCTGTGATGGTATCTATCTGTCTTCATATAAATATTGATATAACCACGCCTATACCAATACCTACATATAGACTTATGTGCACGTTCATTTTGATAAGTACTGGACCAGTAACAAAGACATTCAATGTTATCTAGAGATCTTCCTCCTCTTGGGTTTTGGAGGCTTCACTTGTCTGTCTCCCTGTGGGATTTGGTGGACCTAAAAATAAGTATATTTAGAAGTTAGCAAAGAATATCGGTCAAAGTAACCAGCCAGCAATAAATCAGCTACAGGATTGCTTGAGGTGCTGTTACGAAACAGTTCTTACTATTTCATGTCTACACGGAAGCCCGAATTAAAAGGAACTTCGAGAACATTGAGGCGCTGGGGAGAAAAAGGTTGACGCCGCAGGTGGCACATCTCAACCCTTTGCTACCTTGGATAAAGGCACCAGCGACAGTAATTGTGAAACTGCAGAATTGGGAACTGAACCCAAAACTGCAATTATGTCAGATTCTCGGAGACAAACCTTTATACATCAGCGTGACAAGAGCAATAAAGTAGGAAGCAGGTGGTGAGAAAATATTGCTAACAGGGAAAATTAAGAGAAGTCAAATTCAGGTCTGCGGTAGCATTATTAAGGAACAAGCTATCTTTAGCAAACTCTGTCTTCATCTAATTATTAAAAGGAAATATTCAATTTCGAGCTAAATGCTAGATGAATTTGAGCGTGAAACGGTTTTTCATCGCTGACAGCTCGGGAAAAGACACAACGTAATTGGAAGGAAAGTCGCGGAGGAAGGCGCCGGCGCCTGGCGTGGAATACCACCACCATCTGTCGGTGGCAGCGAGCTGCGGTGCCGGGAGGAGCAGCCTGCAGCTCCCAGCGGCCGTCAGGCAACAGCGGCAAAGCCTTCGGCAACGTGCAAAATTAGCTCCTTGGGTCCGTCCCGAATTCCTTCAGACCGCTAACATTGACTACGTATTTATTGGCTCTTACCCGTGAAAATAATTCTCTGAGCCGATTAGCTCGTTTGCACATGCTTTTCGTGTAAAATGTAACTGAACAGTAGCAGCAGACAAGAATGCAAGTCGCTAAGAAGAGAACCGTCGATTCCCTATGATTGTTTCTAAGAATCATAATCTTTACGGAAATAAACCCCCATCACAAATTTTGTGACCAGATAATTAAAATAGAAGTCAAGACCAGGTAGTGACATGCAGGCTGGTGCATCAGCTTGCCTGCATTACGAAAGATCGGCAAACCCCGTTACAGCAGTTTCCCCTGGGCCACTTTATATCATAGTTAAAATGCATATAGCACATGGTTTTTACTATTACTGGATTTATAAATGAAAAAAAAAGGGACCAGCAGACCGGTCCAGTCCGAACATACAAGCGGTAGCGTAACCCGCGCAGAGATTTGTGTGCCAAGCACGTATCTCACATTTATTTGTAACGGACCTACAATCAGATCTTGCTTTCCTGTTCCTTCCAAAGACAACAGGAAAACACATGGAGTTTAAAATCAAAACTCCATCTCATTTTGTAAAATTCACACCGTTAAACAAAAGATTTGGTTTTGTTATGACTTATGGCAGCCATTAAAAGCTACTGAGTAACTTAATATTTCTTGGTGGTTCTGCAACCCCCTCTAAGTCTGCGGTTCTGTCCTTTTACATGTCCTTTTACGTACCCCAGTAGCCCCCCTGAAGCTTTACTACTTCTAAATATTCGTGTGTACGAGCATCTGTTGTACTGAGCGTTGAGTAGCAGGAAAAAGACTTTTTAATGTATTCAAATGTTTTTATAACTAATCATTTGAATAACTACCAATGGTAAGATATGAGAGGTTAGATGTGCTGTGATATATTTTTTTTGCATTTCTAAGTGTGTTTCAATGAAATTACAGACATGTTCTAAATATGAAGATGAGTACATTATATAAACGAAATTTTGTATTAGAAAGATACCGGGCTTACATAGTAACAGTGCAAATATTTTAGAAAGAGCACTGTTAGATTTAATATTAGGAATACTCTCACCTTTCATGACAGTATCTCTCATTTCACGTAAGGAAAGCTTTACTCAAAGAGTTTACATTCAAAAGAACGATGCTTTTAAATGTGGTTTCAATATCTTGCTACTCAAACTGAAAAACCAAACAAGCCTGATCTTGCATCACTAGTCAGAGAAAACCCGTGGAATACGAGCAGGACTGGAACTGATGCAAATATTACCAGGCTGGATGAGTAAAAGTATGCCCAGGAATCTACTTGTGTAAAAAATAATATAATTGGCAACGTAACTAAAATTCTACGTCTTTTCCCATTTTTCAGAATGATCGGACATTTGCAGACATTTTTTAATGCAGGAGAAATACTGAAAATTCCACATTATTTAAGAAAATAGAAACAAAATTTGTGTCAGAAAGCAACCCAAACCAACACTGCCGGTCTTCAATTGACACCCATGCAGACACATAGAAAAAGGAGAAGATTATTGCTAACTTGAAAAGGAACTTACATTCCCAGACATTTTGTCTAGTTCACTCATGGCCTCGTGTATAGCAGCTTCTAAATGGTTATTTAGCTTTCCACTTCTAGGAAGAAAAAAAAAAAATAATGCCATCAGTAATTCTTAGTAGCAGAAGAAAAAACTTTTAAAAAATTAATAATAAACACGTTAACTCACTCGATATATTCTACTAGCTGTAGAGCCTCCCAGGTTGTTACAGCACAAATAGCAAGATCAGACCTATACACAGTATTATGCAAATTAAAGGCTTGTGTTATAATTACAGAAGAAAAATTAAAGCCGGCACTTTCAGTGAGTTGTACGGTTAGTTACAATATCCACAAGACAAATTACATCCATGAATAAAAAGCAAAAGTACTTCACGGTAACATAGCATTTTGTGCAACCTTTTTTTAGGGCTGCACTCTCACGGGTTTTGATCAGGAGCAGGAGTACTCCAGCTACTCCGGACTTTCTCAGAGACTTCAAGTGTTACTAAACCTCTAGTGCCAGCTGGCCTCTGCCTGCTGCCCACTCCACGTTACGTCCTGCATTTACTTTGTAAATGTGGCTACATTTCAGCAATATTTTTGTGAAGGACTGAAGACGTACGCTGCCGTCTTCTCGAAAAATCAGTGCGTGAGCTGCAAAGTTTTCCTCTTACCCAAAGCACAAAGCTCAAAGTTAAATATCCCTTCTACCTTTAAATAGCCAGAGGAAAATAAGTCATATTAGTCCTCTAAAATGTTGCTAGTTTTACCCCGGAATGACAGCACACCGAGGGCTGTGGCAGAAGTAAGGAGGAGACTTTCTTCTTGCAAACCAAAAGTTACCCCAAGTCCTTGGGCAGCTCCATACACATCTAATTTTACAGTGACATTTTTGATTTCTTTATATAATATTTATATTTACATATTTATATTATTTATATTTCTTTAAAGAAGTTT